ATCAGTTCCATTATTTTTCAATCTTTTAAAAATTTTTCGTCGCTAATAACCTTTAAGATTTTGTGCCATGAAATCCACTATCGCATCACATCACATTAATAAAATGTAAATTAATGAAGTGAATCTATTAAACTTATACTATCTACATTTTACACATCATAAAGGTATTTAATAATTTTTAATGTTGTGAAACCACTATCAATATCGCTTATTTGATCTGTCGCATTTAAAATGAATATGCTATTATGACAATTAATTTTCTAATACCTGACGTCAAAGATATCTCATCTTTTGTGTGCGAGTCAACATGAATTGGTACAGCTGATAATATCGAAGTAGAAATTCATATTTCTGATGCTACGGTAAAAACACCATACACAAATTATGCATTCTGAGCTGTTAGAGTTACGATTCTGTGCTTAAAAAGAGCCGTCGAAAGGATTTTGTGCAAAGAGAAGTTTTAAATAACTTAAAGGAGACATTTTTTAGCAAATTGGTAAATGCATCTAGATGTAATCTTCAAATATGGGATTGATAATTGCTAATAAGAATATATTTAATTGCAAACATTGTTCATGCAAATTTGAACTTAAATAACTTACAAAACTCAACTTTATCCTAGAAATCAAATTCTTAGGTAATATTTAAATTCGAAAAAGACCCAGTAAGTCTTAAGCATTCTTAAACAATTTAGAGACGCAGTCAAAATTTTCAATAAAAATCTTGTTAGACTTGTAATAATAAACTTATCTTTTTCTTACCAATTTCTCCAACAAGAGGCATAATTATTCACTTTGGCAAATCCTGCCTTTATCTCCAAAGTGCATTGAGCTAATTTTCATACCAAATAAAGCTGATTTAGTCCAAATGGTAATTTAATGCGTAATAATTAAACTCTAAATAGTTTGTATGGTATGCTGTATCATTTAGCTGTATAATGGTCGCATACTGATTTTCGAAAAAAAGTGTAAGGGGAAAATATTGACTTATATAATATCCATATTAGCATTGTTATGAAGGAACCTGGAATATTGTGCTAGGGCAGAAAAAAAAGTGCGCACGGATGATCTCATTGCGGACTGGATAAAATTCATGAGCCTTGTTAACTTTAGGAAGCATGTTCTAAAACACCTTTTGCAGAAGTAACAGGTATCTCAAAATCGATGGAACTGAAGATGATTTATTGTGGGAAAAGTGTTCCCGATCAAGGTGGTGAAAATAACAGCTAAATCAATATTATTTACTCGCTAGAATGTGTGTTAAAGAACAAGAGCTGCTATTAAGCATTCATGTGTTTCAGTAATGAGCAGTGAACTTTGTTTTTACTAATGTATCTAAAATAATTGGTGGGGGGAACTTCTGCTGAATGCATAAGGTTTCTTTTTGCTTTGAAGAAAATAACTTAAAATTGCATTGTTGTATGAGTTACTGGTAGATTTATTTCACTGGGTTCAGATCCCGGCAAACGGGCTGGCTAATAGATGTTTTCGTGGATTTCTTCATGCGTAACAATCATGCTATGCAATCCAGTTTCCCTTAGAAAGTCCTCCACGAAGGTAGCCCTCCCCTTAGGCAGATAGCCCTTTAGAGTACTTTACTACAATCAAATAAACCAAACCAAACATTTATTTTATGCATATTTTGCCTTTCAAGAGTTTATTATGGCCTTTCCATGAGAGAATAAGCTTAAATTATCGAACTTAGGAAACTGAATGGCCTATGCAATGCCACAACAAAGAATTTGCATTAAAAACATTGGATACAAAGTGCGGATGGTACAGAAATTAGGAAAGTACATAATTTTTGAAGTAATTAAGTAAGTGATAACTGTAGCTATAATTCATTCAACATTTATTTTTAATAATGTATGCAAATGAAGTGGTAAAAAGGAGTTTTCAAGAAATTTAATGATACGCTTTTTACGCGAAATAAACAGAATTTGCTTCAAAATCGAGTATGGTTGAAACAGTACTGAAAATGAATTGAAGTCGACCAGTATCTAAATTTATATTGAATTATCTAAAAAGCACTTATTTCTAATATTGAATTAAATAATGTATATGTCTTAGGGAAAAAAACCCAGAAATTCTTCTCAAGAGTTCATATTTAAATCCTGGCAAATGGTTGGCTGCGTGGGCGTTTTCGTGCTTTTTTCTTATGTGTAACGTGATTGTGAGCCCGTTTTCCTTAGAAAGTCTATCATGAAGGCATACATTTCCTTAGGCAGATAACCCTAGTGCGCTTTGTCGTAATCCACAATAATCCAGTCCTCTAATAATGCTATATGCTTTAATAGCCATATTTTGTTTATATATTAATGATATAATAATAAAAAGAATTTTATTGCTTGTTTTATCATTCATTGTGTGCGTTTTGTCTTCTCCGCTGTCACTGAACAAAGAAACATTTTCCTGAAATGTAACTTAAGTGCTAATCGTTGTTTGATTAAATGGAAGAACGAACGATGCAATCAGCTGCGAACTTTTGCACATGTGTTTTTCAGTTATTTTCCCTCTATTTCCATCCCCCGTTCCCTCCACTTTCGTTTGGTGGTATACTGTCTATCCCCCCTGGAGCTCTTCCTCATTGGTTACGCAATCACGCCGTGCTGTAGAGTTTTCTCTCATTATGACGTCATTGTCCCGAGTCGTCTGCTCTGTCTTTGACTCACCGGAAGCGAGATGAAACAGAACACACGCGGTCGGAAAAAGATGTCTTGTGACCGACGTGATTTCCCATTATATTTTTTAAAGTGTAAATACATTAGATGGAGGTAACTTTTTGTTTTAGTGAACTTGCGGCTAGGTCTTTTGAAAAATGTAAGTGCGTTTATTTATTTATTTAAAAAATTCTTTGTTTGAAAAATTTTATGTATATTAAAGTATTTATAAGTTAGGAATATATCTATATATATATATATATATATATATATATAAGACTTCGTTTTCGGTAATTTTCTTTTAATTACATCTGTTATCGTAGTTTATATTGTTTATTTTGTTATTCTAAAAATAACCAATTTATTTCGAAACTTTTGAATAAAGCTTTTCAGGAATTTACTTTTCGAAGGCTGTTTTTATCGTAATGTAAAGTGATCAACTTAAAAAATAATATAGGGTTTTTATGCACAGATTAAGAGAAATTAAGAAAGTTCTTCTTTTTTAACTTAAAACCGATTTCTTGGTTCTTTTGGGGAAGAAAAAATATTATACATGCTGTGTGTAATTAACTAAACTGATTGATTGATCATGAGTTTGCCTTCGAGCATATGAAAATTGAAACTTTCTCTCATTTATTTGAGTTTTTTATGTTCATACAGTCTCTAATGTGTTCATTGGCAGACATTTATATCTAGAATATTAAAAAATTAAATATCACAGTAACATATTTTTAAGTATATTTGAAATCACACTTGGATTGTGATGGAAGTAATCTTTGTGTTAACGTATGTGGCAAGTTGTGTTTTCAGATGTATTAATTTCTGGATAACTTATAGGCATCCCTTGCGATAAGATGAGTGAAAAATGTCTAATTACTGAATTGTATTTGTTTTCTTACCTGAATTCTTTAGCCATTGTTCAGACTCTTATATGTTCGAAAAGAAAAATTAGTTATATTGGAAATAATTGAATATTATTGTTTATATTATGAATATTTCTTACGTCAGTGTAATTTCAGTTTCTGATATTGAGTACGTCCCTAGAGATATTCGTTCAAAATTTCTGAAGCTTTACATTGCATTGCATTATACTATTTTACGTTACGTTGCCGTCTATTTACTAATGGTGCCTCTGTGCGGTATGTTGCATGGCCCCACATGGTGAAAATCAACCTAAACTAGCAGTAATCATGCTCAGCGATAAGCGCTATTCTCTGTCGCTTCTAAATTCTGTCATTTAGTCCTCTTTAAATTCGAGAAATTTTGCCACTCTTGTATCCTTTTGCCCTGTGCGGTCTCACCGATTCTGGCATTGGTCCTGCCAGGAACCAGAGACCTTCACGGTCAGCTGTATCTTTCGATTTAACTGTGTTTTAATAAACTGCCCTGTTATCCATCTCTGTATTATAAAACTGTATTCTAAAACTTGAGGAATTAATACTGTATGCATCGTTTCTAGAGTGTTAATATTAGTCCGCAGTCTCAGCATCAATACAGTCAGCTATTTGAGTACTTTTCTAAGTTTTTTTCAATATGTTTGTTATTAGTAATTTCAGACGTAAGAAACTTAATATAAACTCTTCGGATATTTATCACAATCTATAAATTGCTTTAAAATGATTTCAGGTTTAAAGTACTTCATAAGGTTTGTAATAACTTATGGAGTACAGCTGTTGACAGTATCAATACTTGAATGCCCAAACAATGAACTGATTTAAAATCCATGTATAAAATCCCTATATTATTTTTTATTTTGATCACTATACATTACTATGAAAATAGCTTTCGAAAAGTAAATTTCTGTAAACGTTTGAAGTAGTTTTACATTATTGGTACATCTTTGTTTCGTAAATGTCGAAATCAGCATCGAATTCAAATTTTTTTCGTCAGCAGGTTTAATGCGTTATTTATTTAAAAAGAAGGTTTAATACGTTATTCGTACTTCATCAGAATTGGGAGAAGATTGTAATATCTAACTTCTTTAGACCTTAATGCTGAAAATTATTTATCCGATTAGTGCGGGGGAGCTTGCAAACTCAAAAGGCAATCCTCTATTTTATTATATTTTTAAAAAAATTATGCATCTTAACCTTTAACGAAAATTTCTAAGGAATTAACTGAATTTCTAGTTAATTTATTTGACAATATTGATAATTTCTTTGATGAAATAAGTTTAGGCAATTTTACTCCCTGCAAAGCCAACATCTTAACTGAAACTGTTGTGTGCGTTTAAATGGAAACTAAAATGTTTGAAACACAGTATTTGAAAACTTTGACGTATCTTCTTTTATTGGTGTTTTACTGCTTGCTGTTTTGTAATATTATTTTATATTATTCACAGCGGTCACTACAGTTGGTTGCAGTTAGACCGTAGAGTGTTGGAGCACGAATTTCCCAAGAGGTCGGCACAGTCTACTCTTGTCCTTTACTTCAGGATAAAGTAAGTGTACTTATCTCTGTTCTTTCAATGATGCTATTATTTTTTAATAATACATGTTGCTTTGAAAGACGGGTACTGAAACTTTTCAGGGAATAAGTATAGCTTAATTCGTCTTTGCTTATAATTCGTGTTTGCTTTGTAACTTTTTCAAGTGTCAAGAGAATTGGCAAAATAGGAAACAAATTGAAAGAAAAATACTACAGGCCGATTAGAAATAAAGCACGAAGCCTTATTATTCGTTAAAAAGTCTGAAAAACTTATTCGATTCTTTTAGTGCCTTACCCTTCTCATGGCCGCTTGATTACCGTCTGGCCTAGGCTCAAAGATTTTAGAGCGCTCACAAATCGTATTTTTATTTCTTATAATGCTGTTTTTGTCATAGAAAAAATCTGATATGTACTTCACACAACTTCCTTCTACGGAATATTAAATTATACGCAATTTTCCTTCACTTCATTTAAACATATTGAAGTAACAGTTCACGAATTTTGAATTAAATCTACTTCGTCGATAGCGCATAAACCGCAGTAGAATAAATGCACTCTTTAAAGTTCACTATATTTATTTACCATTACGACACTTCGGCGCTACGTTCACTTAACAGCATTAACATTCATAATAACTAGCGTGCACAAAAATTATATCATTTGAAGAATTACCACAAGTTCTTCATCAGAATTGGATCATCAGATACTTTATAATAAATATACTTCATCAAATACTATATAATAAATATAAAACGATGTATAAATTAAACAAATAAAAAAGAAACATTTTTTCGCAGATTATTTAGCGCACCTTACGGAATGCGCTACTTAATTCAGTTCTAACTTCGCGGCAAAGCAAAAATACATAAAAATTCAAAATATTTTCATTAAAATTTGAAAGCTATATGAAAACATAAAACACCAGATACAGTTAAAGCAATTAAAAGAAATTTACAATTAAAATTACAGTTTCTACTTCAAAACAAGGCAATAACTTAAATGTTAATTCCAGAATGACTTAAGCATAATTTAATTCGCAATAATACACTCACGTCCATAAATTAAGGATAATGCAAAATCAGGCAAAGGAAGAGTTAGAAGCAAAACAAATTTGACTTATTTGTAAAGCTTATTTATTAAACAAAAGGTAAAGAGCAAAAAAAGATGCTATATGTTTGATATTATTAAAAAAATTAGCGATTTTTTCTCCTTGGAGCAAATTACAAAAAAAAACCTAGTTACAAAAAACCAATATTACATGGTTGGTATGATTGTTAATACATTGTATATCTCCCAGACGATGCAATGCAGACCGTACAACGCCTAGGCATGCTGAGTATCAAATTATCGATCTGATTTTGGGGGATATTACACCACTCAAAAAGCAATGCTCTCCTACTCTTTAAGTTCCGGTAGACATGTAGGAGGAGGTTGACGGGCTGCAACTCGTCGGCCAAGCATGTCCCACACGTGCTCTACTGGATTCAAGTCCGGAGAGAATGCTGGCCAGTCCATACGGGTGATGTCCTCCGATTGAAGGCATTCGCTTACGATGTTTGCATATTGAGGACGGGCGTTGTCATCCATAAACACAAATTGAACGCCCATGGCGCCCCGAAACAAACGTACATGTTGTTCCAGAATGATGTCCCTATAGATTTCGCTTGTCGTGGTTCCAATTTGAACATGCAGGTCAGTTCTGGAACCCAGAACAATTCCACCCCAAACGAGCACTCCTGCACCACCGTAACAGTTTCGTTTAATGATGTTTTCTTGGTGGTAACGGGTACCTGGAGCTCTCCATATGAAAGTTCGGCGAGAATCAGACTGCAAGCTAAACCTGAACTCGTCGGAAAACATCACACAAGCACACTGTTGCGGTGTCCACAATGCATGCTCTCTACTTAAGGCTAACCGCAGGTGACAGTGAGTTGCAGTAAGTGGAACGCATCTGACAGGTCTACCAGCATATAGACCGATTTGCCCTAAGCGTCTATACACGGTCTGCCTTGAAATTGACGAAACAGTAGCTGAAGAGAGCTGACGAGACAGGTCTGAGGCTGTGCTCTGCCTGTTTCTTTTGGCAGTAACTGCCAAATACCGGTCCTCATTCGGCGTTGTAACTCTGGGACGACCTGTGCTGTAACGTCTACTCACATTACCATCATCTTGGAATCGTTGCCAAAGCCTGGAGATGACACTCTGGGCAATTCCAAGTTCGTGTGATACTTCCAGTTGGGTACGCCCACATTCCAGACGGCCGATAATTCTACCACGTAAAAAATCATCCAAATGTGTCCTTTGTTTCATAACTATTCGGTTATTGCACTGAAATGCTTATAAAGCACCTGCGAACAATTTTACTTCTTTGCCTGTATTCCTTATATATCACTCTCTTAGACTCTCGTCATTGTGACGTACCATCGGTGTCACCTGGTTATTTCCTGAAATTTGCATGAGTCTTGAAGATGTGTGTAGTGATTTTACAGGTGATATATTTATTTTAGAGCTCGATTTCCGCGTGACTCCGAATTATCCTTAATTTATGGACATGAGTGTAAAAGGAGACGTTACTTTGTTGTTGCGAAGCTTAGTTCTCTAGATTGGCAACAAATTTACTAGTCTCCTAAGTTTCAAATGTAAACAAACATGGCTGCCATGGTAATCAGAAATTAGGCTTAGCCGCAATTGAAAAAACTTTTAACTTGTTGACACTTCCACAATTATTGCTTGCAGGTTAAATAAAGGCATAAAAATCTTAACCAGAACAGCATAATTCAATCATTTTAAAGGGAAAAAAAAATGTACAATTTACAAACATATAAGAACAAAGAAACTGAGCTCGTTGAGCCGAGTAACAGAGTGGATATATTACTTTTGGTGAAGCGGATTACAACCAAAATGGGAGGTGCACATCTACATGTTATACCAGTCCTATGTACAAAATTTTAACTTTCTGAGGCTACTCGTTTATGAATTATGCGACATACGGACTTTCATATGTACGTACAGAAGCCACGAAAAAAATCTCTTCAGAATTCATTTTAAAGCAGTTTTATAATTTTTTTGGAGGAAAAGAATGTTTTATTTTGTCCTTACATACAGATATCACGGAAATACATCGTTAAATTGCATTTGAAAGAGGTCAAAGTGGGATATTTTCGTTGAAATATGATACCCGAAATTTTTCTCGTTTAAAATACTTCCTTTTTACTACGTAGAAGGAAGTAGAAATAGGAAGAGGAAAGGTTTCAGTAGAATATTACATAATTTATTGCCGCTGATAATTTTAATTTTGAAGCAAAAATTGTAAGCATTGTAATATATTTCCTATATTATACACGATTAAATGTGTAGTTACTTTTTTCTAATTCACCTGTTTTCTACATATTTGCATTTTCACTTGGTGAATAGTTTTTCCCAATAACTCGTTATATATTTACAAGCTCTGTTACTCTATTGTCTGTTCTGTCTTTCTTCTTTAAAATTGAAAATATTTCGCCAATTTCCGTAGTTCTGTTTCCCCATTTCTTTTCACTTGTTTGCCCATTGTTTATTTATAGGTTCCTTTAATTTAAATAACTAGTTTATGTTTGGAATGTTTACTGTCACTTCTGTATTTCCATTTTACCCCAGAACGCAGATTAAGTTCGCGTGTATTTAAGTGATGGTTTGGGATTTTTAAGTCAGAACGTGGTCTACTGCTTGAAACTCACGTTACAAGTTTTGTTGTTATATATAAGAGTTCCTGTGTTCGGGATTGCATTACTATTTGCCGATAGTTAAATTGATGTCGGTGAATTCCGAGCCAACTTCGCGATTAAATTGCTCTATGTAGCCATTGGCTATTAGTTATTTAAATTTAGCTTTAGATTTGAATTTCTTCTTGAACAATACGTTTAATACGTTTCTCGCTATAAACGCTGGCGGATTTGTAAGCACCATGTGCTTTCTGTTCATCTGTTTGAGTTTAAAATAAAAGGGAATTTTACACTCTTCTCAAGTTTTTTACTTCCTTTTAGACTTAGTGATAAGTCGCTTTACGTATTTCTACGTTTGATTACAGTTTAAAATAGTGAAAGACGTCCGATCTTCTAGAATTAGGTTCTATAATTGACCGAGCTATTGCGAAGAGCAATGTTGCCGGTTCCAGAATTAAAGCCCAAGGTCACCTAACATAAAGAAATCCGAACGTGGAGAAAATCTCAGATGAGAAAACGGAGAGAAGGGGAAGAAGAGAAGTACCAAAAGGAGCAAGACAATCCAATCGGACAAGTTCGCCAAATGTGGTAGCTTTCAATCAACGATCATAGCTTTCAAGGAGGACCCAAGACAATGCAAATCAATGACAACAATATGAGAAGATACACTACAGCAATGGTTCCAATGACAAATTCAAATACAACTAAACAACCTCAATCAATAGTGCTAAATACAACACAATTTTAATACAACTATTCAAAGCAATGCACTACAGCAAATCTACAACAACCTAAGCAACCTATTTACAACACTATTATATCATAACAATGCGAAACTCTCACAGCATTAGTTTTATCAGTCTTCGAGAATAATATTCAAGTTACAGAAGAACTTCAATCAAAATCAGATGCATTGGAAATATAAACAGCTACCAATTGAGGAGCTAAGTGAAAAAGTTGTTGTCTCCTCCCATAAAGGTGTGAGCTGCAAGTGATCTAGAACTTCTATCTTCGAAGAGAATTTCATAATTAAAGACTTGGAAGTAATTAACAAAGTCACATTGCACAGCTTTGTTGAAGAATTTTTCATTAGATATTCTGATGTAATCTGGAATCGTCACAAGTTTTAAGTCTCTGTGTAAAAGTTTATTGCGGATAAGATAGTGTGAATCAGTAATAATGCGCAGAAATTTGTTTTACACTACTTGTAATTGATGCAGTTGAGTTTGAGTGACCGTGTTCCAAGCAGGAGCAGCATAACAAAGTATCGGTCGAATGCAAGTGGTATATATATATATATTTTTAGTACGCA